CAAAAGACGATGAGGTGGCAATCCGGGTTAACAGAACTCGGGGCGCTACATAACCCATATGTAATGACGACCGATGTTTAAGAATTATCCGACAATCTCCCGCAAGTAGAGTTGAACCTATTATAGTATTGCAGTGCAGAATTACTCGAGCATGAAGAACACGAGAAATTGGACAAAGTTCCAATATCTGAATAGAATAAGCAAAAACAACCACCTAAATTGACTGTTGCTCATGTCTTTAAGCCAAAAATATAAAAGAAACCCTGACTAAGAAAATGACTAAATTAACCTCTTAATTAATTAGGAGTTTTGTTGAACAAAGCATAAATAAAAAGGACTTAAAATTAACTGAATAGAAATATGAAATAGGCAGCAAACAAGCAGAATAATCATCCCAACAGCACTTGAGGTTCCAGCCTCCTCCACAAGTTGCTTAGTTGTTCGACTTCCGGTGCTCACTTTTTTGCTTAGTAATGTCGCGCTTGTGACACTAAATCATCCTCCCTAGGTTGGAGAAGATTCGTCCTTGAGTCTTTCTTTGTGTCATTGTCCAAGCCATTAGGCTCCATTTTTAGCCCAGTATATTGCAAGCACATCATTGACGGCATATTCATTCCCCCGTATCCCTGACATGTGAAAAATGAGCTGCTTAACACATTTGAAGATTCCATTCAAGCATTTGTGGATCCAAGAATTCAAGTGAGCACGGGCGACCGCTCCATATAAGGAAAAAAAAAAAATTCAAAGGAGCTAGCACCGCTGGCGGCCGAAGGGGCTTGCCGAGTGCCAGTTCCGCCCCTTCATTCAAGGGCGTTACGACCTTGATTTTGAACAGAGGCTGTGAGTTGGTTATTTGTGATGTTATTCATCCACATACTTGAGTTCTAATGCACTTGTTGTTAAATAGTAAAACTAAAGGTAAGCTTCAAGTAATTAATATTATTTGTTGACTTGTAAAATAATGGCAATTATGGGTATCAAGCCGATGTCGTTCATTATGGTAGACCAATCTATGAACCAATTTAAAGAGAATTGACTGATTTCGATCGTGTTTTTTAAGCGAAAATTAGGATCACAACCAACTTTATAAAAGAAAATTGAATTTTACTCCCCGTCAAAAAAGTATTAATAAATAATGTTCATCATTTAGAGATTGTTGATTTTTTCTTTATATTATTTTTGAAATATTTTTCAACTAAAAGAACGGATTCTTGATTTTTAATTGAGTTATGTTACATGTACATAATTTTTTTACATAATCTTTTACACCCCACTCACATTAGGAGGTGGGGACCACGAGCCGCCATTTTTAAACACACACGGGCCCCGCACACATTGTGAGGGGGGTACACCATTCGGTACCCCCCATTCGGTACATCCGGCATTTTCCAA